AGCGCCCCTAGAGGACAGAGTGGAACTGCCCCACAGGGTTTCCAAGGCTGTCAATCTTCACAGAAGCAAAGCCCAAACCACACCCACTGCCTGGAGTCTATTCCAACTCACAGCGCCCCTAGAGGACAGAGTGGAACTGCCCCACAGGGTTTCCAAGGCTGCGGATCTTCACAGAAGCAAAGCCCAAACCACACCCACTGCCTGGAGTCTATTCTGACTCACAGCGCCCCTGGAGGACAGAGTGGAACTGCCCCACAGGGTTTCCAAGGCTGCCGATCTTCACAGAAGCAAAGCCCATACCAAACTGAATACCGTGGAGTCAATGACTCACAGCGCCCCTAGAGGACAGAGAGGAACTGCCCCACGCAGTTTCCAAGGCTGTCAATCTTCACAGAAGCAGATTTCATATTTCTCATATTTCTCCCACAGAGTGGCTGGTGGGCTCAGACCACTAATCTTTTGGTTATCATCAGAGCGCTTAACGACTGCACTACCAGGCTCCCTCTGTAGGTCACATTGTCGGGTGCTGGCGAGTCGGCTCCTACTCAAGGTGACCTCACATGCAGCAGAACGGAACCCTGCCCGGTCCTGTGCCGTCCTCACAGTCCTCGCTGTGTTGAGCCCATCGTAGCAGCCACTGTGTCAAGCCCTCTTGCTGAGGCTCCTCCCCGTGTTCACTGACCCTCTACCAAACATGACGACCTTCTCCAGGGATGGTCCCTATGGCTTGGGTTAAATCTTCAAAGTGACATCTTTGCTATTCAACACTTTCAAGAGGTCTTTTGGAGCAGATTTGCCCAGTACCGTACGATGTCTGATGTCCTGACTGCTGCTACCATGGGTATGGGTTGTGGGTTCGAGTGAAATGAAATCCCTGACAACTTCAATCTTTTCTCCATTTATCATGATGCTGCTTATTGGTCCAGTTGTGAGGATTTTCATTTTACTGATGTTGAGGTGTAATCCATACTGAAGGCTGTAGTCATCAAAGTGCTTCAAGCCCTCTTCACTTTCAGCAAACAAGGGTGTGTCGTCTGTGTATCACAGGTTGTTAGTGTTTCTCCAATCTTGACGCCACATTCTCCTTCATATAGTCCAGCTTCTCAGATTACTCGCTCATTATACAGACTGAGTAAGTGTGGTGAAAGGACACAACCCTGATGCACTCCCTTCCTGATTTTAAACCACGCAGTATCCCCTTGTTCTGTTCAAACAGCCTCCTGGTTTGTGCACAGATTTGTGGAATTCCCATTATTCTCAATGTTATCCATAATTTGTTATAATCTACATAGTCAAATGCCTTTGCATGGTCAATAAAACACAAGTGAACATCTTTCTGGTATTCTTTGCTCTGAACCAAGATACATCTGACATCAGCTATGATATCCCTTGTTCCATGTCCTCTTCTGAATGCAGCCTGCACCTCTGGAAGTTCTCTGTCAATATACTGCTGCAACCATTTTTGAATTATCTTCAGCAAGATCTTACTTGTGTGTGATATTAATGACATTGTTTGATAATTTCCACATTCTGTGGGATCACCTTTCTTTGGAATGGGTACAAATATGGATCTCTTCCAGTCAGTTGGCCAGGTAGCTGTCCTCCAAATCTCTTGACACAGCCGAGTGAGTGCCTCCAGTGGGGCATCTGTTTGTTGGAACATCTTAGTGGTATTCTGTCAATTCCTGAAGCCTTGTTCTTCATCAATTATTTCAGTGCAGCTTCGACTTCTTCTTCTATTACCATTGGTTCTTGATCACATGCCACCTCCTGAAATGGCTGAAAGGCTACCAGTATTTTGTCATGTGTTATCATAGAGATGGTTAAAAACAAGACAAATGGCGCAGTGTGAAATGAACTCTCTACGCTGATTACATGAGGAGCTCCTGCTGGTGCTGTAGGTGGGGTAACGGCATGGTAAGGAGACCTGGTGGTGCATCAGTTAAATGCTCAGCTAACAACCCGAAGTCTGAACCCACCCAGCACCCCCTCGGGACAAAGACCTGGCGATGTGTTCCTGTAAAGGCGATAGCCCAGGCAGGCTTTGCGGCAGCTCTGCCACACTCAGGGTCTCTGAATCAGCTCGCTGGCACCTGACAGCAGGCAGCAGCAGTCCCGTGCTGGGAGGCTGTCCTCTTACAGAGCCGGGCAGAGATGCCGCAAATGCAGCCTGACACAGCCAAAGCCACGCGTCTGCTCCTAGCCGTCCCAGGGAGGGGTCGGCGGGCCGTCAGGGACGGGTGGGGGGACACAGGTGTGCACAGGAAGACGCCCACTGCTTCTGTGTAAGGTAAAAATCTCCCTCAGAGAAATGGTGTGAAAAAATCCGACCATCAGGTGACCTGCAGTGGAGTTTTCTTCCCCCAGGAAAGCGCCGAGTGTCGGGTGATGCCTGCCCCCTGGTGGCCAGCTGCAGAACTGCCCGGCGGCCCTGACCCGGGAAGGCGGAAAAGGGAGCGGGATGAGGATGGGCAGGGGTGGCGGGTTCCATGTGAGAGTGCCCTGTCGGCTTGGCAGGTGGGACCCCCACCTCACAGGCGAGGCAGGCTGGTGAGGAAGGATGCAGGGTCCCTGTGGCAATGTGGGGAGCCGGGTTACCCTCGCATGAGCTGGTTCCCTTGTCTGTGGAGTTGGCGGCGGGAGGCGGGGGGATGTCAGAGCATAGGGGCCACCTCACACACTGAGGCCTGACACACTCTCAGGTCTGCTGCCTGAGAGACGATGGTCCAACCACTGTGCCACCACCACGCTGTTATGGCACTCAGCCCACCCTAAGGAATCCCTGTACCCGGGTCAGAGCCCCTCAGTTCCCAGGTATGTATCGCTGCCTCTGCAATGCTAACAGGTCAGGCCCTCATGGGCCAGGCTTACCACGCGCCCCATCCGGAGAAGCCGACGGCCTGGATGATGGTCAGGACAAACTGGGCCCCAAAGATGAAGAAGAACGTCATGAAGTTAAAGGAGCTGTCGGCCCTGGAGGAAGGCAGGCTGTTACAGGGGGCTGGCCGCTCAGACGCTGCCCAAGGGGGGAGCTGTACAGCTCAGGGGCGAGGACGGAAGCCAGGCTCCGACTCTGGCCAGTGAGCAGGCCCTGGTCCACTGCCTTCAGGCCCGCCCGGCTGATGGTGGCCCCATGTGTGTGGCGCAGAACTGTGCTCTCTGGGGTACAATGGCCGGTCTGTCAGAACTGCCCCCGGGTGCGATGGCCGGTCTGTCAGAAGCACATCACCAGGCCTTTCTCTGGAGAGGCCTGGGAGGGTTCTGACCACCGACCTCTCAGCTGGTAGTTGAGGCCTAACTGTGTGACTGCCTGGGAACCTCCTGAAGTGACCAGTGCCTCTGGATACTTACAATTGGTGACAACAGCTAATGTTACGTTGTACACAGCCTGCTGCTGAGGGGAGCTGTGGGGTCGATTCTGCCCTTCCTGCCCTGTGTGACAGAACAACTGCCCCACAGGTCTCCTCGGCTGTCGCTGTGACGGGAACAGACTCCTCTTCTGAGGAGCCTCTGTGGGGGCTTGAACCTCTAACCCTTCAGGAAGCAGCTGAGCCCCTTATCTGCATGACTCAGAGGCTCCACTCCTTCTGGAGACACTGCCACGTGTCGACTAGGAGTCCCTACCCACATGCCCAGATTGGCTGCTTACGAGAAGACGTGCCAACCTGGCAGACACGTTACTAGGAAAGAACTTAAGTAATTCCACTGCATCCGAAACTTTCCTGCCTCCCACTTGGCAAGCTGCCGCCCACATGGCTTAAAGCAGATGCAGTCAGTTCCCACTCATGGTGACCCATGCGTCAGAGCAAGAATGGGCCCCGAAGGGTTTTCAATGGTTGATCTGTTGGAAGCAGCGCACCATGCCCCCCTTCCAAGTCCCTCTGGGTCGACTGGAGCCTCCAAACCTGCAGCGAGCAGCCAAGTGTGGGCACCTTCTGCTCCACGTGGGGAGTCCACACGCTGACTGTTATGAGGCCAGGAGGACAGAGCACCAGGGACCCCAAGATGCCCTCCAATCAGAGCTTCTTTCCACATTGGTCTTGGGGCAGGGGACAGCTGCAGAGACTTCAGCCCAGGGCATCCCTAAGGACTAAGGGGAGGTGGGAATGTGCTAGGACTAGAAATGGTGGTGGCTACACAGCTCTGCGAAGGCCACTAAGTCGTTCACTTTAAAAGGGAGGATCTGAGGTGTGTGAATGGGATGTCAGCATAGCAGTTGCTAATAAAGATAACAAAAATCACAGATAGGCAGCAGTGGACCTGGCCCACGGGCTGCCATTTGCAACCCCCGATGTAAACTGCTGTCTGGATTGGACAAGAGAGAGGGCAGCCATCAGCCACTGGACCGGCGTAGACCCGGCCAGCCTGGGCCAGGTGGGAGGCAGGCCTGGAAAGCCTGGGAGCCTGTGTCCAGAGTAAGCGGCAGCAAGCTCCAGCGCCAGCCCCTGGCCGTGGGCACTCACCGGAAGGCCTTGTAGGCAGGCCGGAACCAGCACACGTAGCTGCAAGGCGAGAAGAGCACCAGCCAGACGAAGGCCAGGCCGAAGTTGGTCCCAGAGCCACCACCGATCCACCAGGCCAGGCAGGCGACGAGGTTCACTGCCAGGGTGGCACAGTAAACTGGCGGTAGGACAGGGAGGAGGAGACTGAGTGGGAGTGAGGACAGGACTGTGCCGGGTGCTGGTAACAGGGGCTTCTGTTGGTCCTCTCCCCGCCCCCAGATAGGCAGGGACCGGGCCAGGGAGCAGGGCTCCAGGGCTTTGGCTTGCTGGGCCAGGACCCCACTTCCCGCTGCCTCTGCCCACTAGCCTGTCCCCAGAGCTTTACTGGGAACATGGGGTGGGGGTGGGGCTGGGGGGAGCGGAGTATGCTGCTAAGGCTGGGCAGCCGGGTCACATGCCCTCAGGGTGGGACTGTCCTGTCGGGTTTTCCTGGCCTTGGGGCTGTCAGGGGCACCAGGGCCGGCTGTGGCCATGGCCGTGCCTGGCTGCCCGCCTGTGTGCACAGGCCTCTGGGGGCTGTCTGCTGGGGGAGGGCTTACACATCCACAGACGGTAGATGCGCTTCACCAGGCCTTGGTACTCGATGGGGATCTCATCCGAGAAGTTCTGGTAGAAGCAGGGCTTCAGGGGGATGAAGGCAGGCAGCGGTGGGAAGTTGTTCTCCTTTCCTGCAAAGTGAATGCCAGGCTGGGGCTACACGATACCCTGGCCTGGTCCCAGGGCCTGCGGACAGAGGGACCTGCACATGGGTGACATGAAGGGCCCGGAGGCAGGCGATGAACCTGGGCCACCTGGTGGCCCACGTGATCACAGGGTCCTCACCCAAGAGAAAGAGGTCAAAGTCAGGAAGATGTGAGGGTGGAAGCAGAGAGAGACTGGGAGGCACTTGCTGCCAGCTTTGCAGATGCGGGAAGAGGCCAGGGACCGAAGAACAGGGGCCTCTAGAAGCCGGGAAAGGCCAGAGGTCGCTGTCCCCAGAGCCTCCAGAAGGGAGGCCCTAGACCTGTGCTGGACTCCTGCCTCAGCAGAGTAGGAGTAGCAGGTGTGGCGTGAGCTGCTAGACAAGTGCGAAATGCCCGTGGCAGTGGTGGCCCCTGCAGGCTCAGCGGCAGAGCCCAAAGGCTTTCCCATCTGGGCTCAGGGAGGTTCCGGCACGTGGCCGAGAGCCACACCCCACCCAGACTTCCATAGTAGGTTCTGATCACTGGGAACTCCACAGCTACTTCCTGACGCTTACCAAAGCCAAACAGTGAACAAGAGAGATGGGGATTCCTACTGTGGGCCCAGCCCAGCGGGAATAGGGAGACCAACCTCAAGCAGACGCCAAGCAGCCAGGGGCCGGGGATGCAGACAGGGGATGTGGGCAGGTGTGGCAGTCCACGGGGAAGGCACATGGGACAGTCAGGGCACAGGAATGGCAGGGGGGGACGGGATGGACAGAAAGACGGGACAGTCAGGTGCAGTTTTCTGCTGGGCTCAGGGTGCGCTTCCCTTGGAAGGAGGGAGGAGGTAAAGGGGGGGCTCTGGGGGAGTGTGCCAGACAAGGGCACAGCCGGTGCACCAGTCCTGAGGCAGGATTGGGCCTGGCAGGCTGAGGGGACAGCAAAGAGGCCCATGTGGCTGAAGCAGAGTGAGTGAAGGGGAGATAGGAGGGGGGGAGGGCAGGAGCCTGTGGGCTGCAGGGAGGTGGGAGCCCGGAGCCCAGCAGGGCCAGTGGTGCTCACGGGCACCCTCTGGTGGCCGTGGGAAGGACAGCCTGGAGGATGGAGATAGAACCAGGTGGACCTGGGGAAGAGCATTCCAGGCAGAGGCAGGGCAGGTGGGAGGGAGGCAGAGGGATTAGCCCTGCAAAGCCCTGGGGCAGGCTGATGGCTGCCAGGTTCCGGAGCAGGGAGCGGCAGGGAGGTAGGAGGGAGGTGGAGGAGGCAGTCCCAGTGGGGCAGCACCACGGGCCCCAGGTGCGTGCCGAGGGGGCTTGAGGCCCCGTTGGTGGCCACGCTCTGCCCCCTGGGCTGGCTTGTGCATCACCCAGCAGGAACCCAGTGCTACTCCAAGACCCTGCCTCTTCTCAGTCCAGCCTCACAGAGAGCCAGCCACAGGCCAGGGCCCCCCCGGAGAGCAAAGCCTGCCACACTCTTGGGGTCTCCCCCTGCAGAGCCCTCCCCAGCCTCTATGGGTTCACACACTCCACCACCTCAGCCAGCACTGTCTCCATCACAGCAAGGAAGGGCCACCTGCTTCTACGGGGAGGAGGCAAGGCCGACGGCCCCACCCCATGGCCCTCCTGAGCCCTGAGCCCCACCATCAGGAAGTTCTGCTTAGATTCCATATGCCTGGGGTCAGGGCCCAGCCCTGCCACCAGCAGGAGCCTGGGGAAGGCAGGGGTGCTGTGGAGGCAGACAGGGATGACCACGGAGTGGGGACATGGATGGTCCGGTGCCTGCCCCACCCCTGGGCCTCCTCACTCCACCTCCCTGCTCTGACAGGATGCCAGCATACCATGGGCCCCACTGCCACACCTGTCTATGTCTGCGACTCCCACCTGTGGCCTCGGTCAGGACTTACCTGACATGTCTGCGGCACGGGGCTGAAGCCACGGTCCACCTAGAAGAGAGGACAGTGACAGTCAGCCTCCAGGGCCACAAAGGGGGCCCGGTGCCAACACAGGCTCAGGTAGCCGCCATGAGAGGGGGCCTAGCGGCCAGGTTATCCTCAGGAACAGAGCTGCTGACCGTGCCTTGGTCTCCCCAATGTTGTAGGCTCTCCCTGAAGGGCTGGCAGCTCAGTTGGTGACACTGGCTTGGTATCCAGGCCCTGTGCCATGTCCCCTCAGGACCCAGCCCTTCCGCCATGCTCCAGGGCATTTGAACACAGGAAGTTCTCCCCCAACTCGCTGCCTCCCCTCCAATGGCTCTAGTCCAAGTCACCAAGTGGGGTTCCTGGCCGGGTGCTTGTGGCTCTGTGACCTCAAGCAGCCATGTAACCTCTCTGAGCAGCCTGGGTTCGAGCCACGGAGTGGGGCTCCTGGCCTGGTGCTTTGGCTGTGTAACCACGGGAGGCCGCGTAACCTCTCTGAGCAGCTGGGTGACTTTGCACCCTGCACCCGTTCCTGCCCCCATGACTCCCAATGCGAGTGACACACCCAGCACCATGGCAGCACCTAGCACCCCTGGACACGGCACCTGAGCAGAGCTCAGGCAGGTCCAGAAGGGAATGGGCCGGCCAGCGGGGTCTGGACTCCCCAGCAGGGGTGGTGACGTGGTCCCGATGACACTCAGGTTTCCAGGGTCTCCCCAGCTCACTGCCCACTGCTTGGACTTGGGGGGACACAGAGTCTCAGGGGGACCTCACACCCCTAACTTGGACCAAGCGAGCCTATACAGGGAGCCAGGATGGAAGCCACTGTCGCCTGGTCCCGCTCCGCCCCTTCCCACCCACTGGGCCAGGGGTCCCTGCCTGGGGCCAGTGCACACAGCCCACCCCAGCAGTCATCTGGCGTCTGGCCTCCACAGGCAGAGCGCTCTTGAGGGAGGGGCTGGGGCTGTCCCCTGAGCCTAGGGCTCCTCACCGCCCCGGCAGCTAATATGGTCATCAATGACATTTGGCACTCACTGGTCAGACAAAAGCATGACACACGCCCTGCAGATGTCCTCGCCATGCTGCAGGGGCTGTACTGTCCCCCTAGGTCCCTTCCCTCCACCTGAGTGGCAGGACATGGCATCAGACACAGCCGGTCAGGCCACAACCCAGCTCATGCAGACCTTCCAAGGCCAAGAGAATGGTGGCACTGTTGGAGCCCTCTGCCCCCCAGAAACCACCCTGAGCCCCCAACAACCTTCTGATGGTGTCATCCTATGCAGCACACCTGCCCTATCTCACAAGCCAGATGGCCCAGGGCAGGTGTGTGGACTCCACCCTGCAGAATGGCCACGCTAACCTGGCGACTGGTGGCCGGCACAACACATCTCCATCAACACACAGGCCTGGTTTGCTTGTTTATTCCCACACATCAAACCCACTTTCTGAACCTGGGATGCAGGGGAGCATCACAGGGCCACCGTGACCCCTAAGTAGCAGGCCCAGTGCCAGGTGCCCCACATGCTCCAGTCCAGGCAACACACATTCTTGGCAGGAACCAGCCCCCCGTCATGTGTGACTGCAGGGACAGCCTGGCTCAGGCCAGATGCACCGTGCACGATGGGCAGGTGGAGGTGTCTGTGGGGTTGCAGCGTAGTGTGTCCATGGTCCCTGGGCATCAGGACAGGAGGAAGCTCTGGGCAGACGGGACATCTGTGCGATCTCTGATGAAGTTACAATGTGGCTTGTCCACGGTCCCTGGGCGTCAGGAGGGGAGGAAGCTCTGGGAAGACAGGGTGTCTTCGGGGTCGGGTCTCTGATGAGGTCACAGTGTGCCTTGTCCATGGTCTCTGGGCGCCAGGAGGGGAGGAAGCTCTGGGCAGACAGGGTACCTGCAGAGTCTGCGATGGGATCACGTACCCATGGAGCTGGCCCAGCAGTGTCTACGTGTCAGGGTCAAGTTGGCAGCACTGGTCCTCCAGCACACCGCAGAACACCTGAAAGCGGTGGTTGAGGTCGGGCCGGGCATGGAGGCGGAAGCGAGAGCCCAAGGCGCCGTCGGGCGAGGGTGCCCCGTAGAAGACCCTACGGATACGCGCGTGCACGAGGGCCATGGCACACATGACACAGGGCTCGCGGGTGACATACAGGTCATAGCCAGTGCACACATACGGGAGCCCATCCTCGTCCTCATCGCAGCAGTCCAACTTCCTCACAGTGCCCGGCCGGACAGCCTGCGGGGTGGCAGCCGGCGTGAAGGAGCAGGCAGGATGGAGCCTGAGGTCGTGAGCACCGCGGCCCTGGCCCTGGGCCACAAGGTCGATGCACACCATGGTGGCATGCAGCAAGGGGTTGGTGGAGCTGCCACAGTCATGGCCTGTGGCCAGCACGCGGCCTGAGCTTGGGTCTACCACCACAGCACCCACGGCTCGCAGGCCCTGCATGGCCGCCTTCTGCGCAGCCCGCACGGCCCGTTCCATGTGGCCTTGCATGCGGGCCTGCTCCTGTACCGAGAAGAGCCGGCCGGCCAGCGCACGGGTCACCTGCTTGTCCTCATGGAAGGTTGAGGGCCAGTGGGCCCTCGCCTCCTCAAACTGGGCGCGTGTCAGAGGGGGCCGGGCAGGCACAGGTACTAAGAAGGGTGGCCCCAGCCCGTTTGGGTCCACAGCCGGTGGCAGCAGCTCACTGAGCGAGCATGCACCCTGGGCCGGCCCTGCCAGGCACAGCAGCAGCTCGAGTGCATGAGGGCAGCAGGCGTCCAGGTTTGGCCTCACCCGCTTGAGGTGGGGCTGGGCAGGCAGTGGCAGGGCGGCCGACAGCTCCCGGACAAGGCGGGAGGTCTGGCGTGGGTCGAGCACGGGTGCAGCGTAGGCCGGCACCAGCTCCACCGCCTCGCTCTGCTGCTCGGACAGGATGGGCAGCGCTTGCCACGCCAGTGGTGGTGGTGATGGTAGCTCTTGCTCCAGGCTCCCGGCCTCCTCATTCCTATGCGGCTCCATCCGTGGCCAGGCTCCGACTGTGGGGACAGAGACGGGGGCAGAGCGTCATCCGTTGGTGCAGGCAAGCCGAGGAGTCTGTCCCAGGAGGTGCTGGATCTTAAGGCCACACGAGAGCTCCAGCCCTGTAAAGCGCATGCCAGGCCCACCCCTGCTCACATCCAACTCCGGGTTTGCAGAGTTTACATCACCATTGCTGTTTTGCCGTTGTTATTAACTGAAATACGATCCACACACCGTAGGACGCGCCTGCTTAAAGCACACAACTCAGTGGTGTAAGCACATTCAGAGTCGTGCAACCACCAACCCTGGTTCCAGAACTTGCCATCTCCCGAAAGGGAACCCCGCTCCACTAGCAGTAGCTCCCGCCCTGACAACCACTGGCCCGCTCTCTGGGTCTGCGGTTCTGTCTGTCTGGGACATTTCACAGAAGTGAGCTCAGATGCTTTGTGGCCTTCCGTGCCTGGGTCTCTCACTGAGCATCGTGTTTTCCAGGCTTGTCCATGCTGTACCTTGTGTCAGAGCTTCTCTCCTCTTTAGGGCTGAGCAATATTCCATCGAATATAAACATAAACACAACAGGCACTATTGTTGGCTGTCTCAGACCTAGAGTAGGTTCAGAAGCAACTGAGCAAGCAGGAGCCACTAAACAGGCACTCTCACCCCAAGGTCCCAGTTTCAGGGCAAGAAACAAATAGGAAAAAAGCACATTTTAACAGAATAATCTAAATCTCAGCTATTGGGGGCCGGATGGCACCCCTCCTAGTGCCGTGGGAGCTGGGCCCGCACACCCAGGTGGCCCAGAGGCCTCCTCCCACGCCTGACCACACCTAGAGCGCTCTGCTGACACAGCACTGTTTATAGGACCACAAACGCAGCAAAGGCGGGAAACGTGCTTCAAGGACGTTCCCTTCCTGCTTAGAAGGTGGAGGTAAAAACTGCTGCTGCAAAAGCCCGTGTCTCAGTGGTGCTGAGACGCTCCCTCCCGCATACCCAGCCCACGGAGCTCACACTGGCCAAGATGGCTCCTGTGTGCTCCAGGAGCCTGAACAGCAGCATCCCTGTCCTGCGCAGGGGAGGCACTAAGTGGCCAGGCTAGGAAGCAGCTGGCAGGAAGCTCAAGATAAAACTCCCAGGACATAGTCTGATTAGCCAAGTTCAGTCATGTGCTCACCCCCAGCACGTGACTGACTGAACTCAACCCAGTGTCTGATTGGCCAAGCCCAGGTGTGTACCTACCTCTCGGTACGTAATTGGCCAAGCTCAGGCATGTACCCACCCCACAGGATATGACCCGCAGTGTCAGCGTGACAGCAAATTCCCAGGAGGAAACTGGCCACGGACCCTGGTCCCCAGCAGGAAGACTGGGTGCTAGGGGCTAGACCTGTCACACCTCCCTGAGTCTCTCCGCTCTAAGGCCTCCTCTGGGTGCCTGGGGCCATGAGTGGCTTCTCAGAGCAGGGAACCCCTCCAATGGGGGGACAGTCCATGCTTCTCATACACCACACCACAAAGCCTGCCCACAGCCCCAACTATGACAGTGACAGGCCACAGAGCAGGACCTGGTCATGTCATGTGCATGCTAACCCTGAATCAGGGGCTACCTGGACAGCCTAATGTGACCCCACACAGTCCCTGGGAGTCAGAGGTCAGTGGCATGAGAACTCCAGCGCAGGGCTGGCTTGGAGGTGGTGGTGGGTTGCGTGACGAGGACCATGGGGCCTCTGGTGGCTGAGAATGCTCCCGCCGACATTCTGGATCCTGCAACGCCAGCATGACCCCGGAAGGGGAAGCTTCCCAGTCACACCTCCAGCTGAGAGTAGCGCAGTGACACTGGGTTCGCACCCCGTGAGACCACCACAGCGCGCCCAAGCTCCTGCCCCCGAGCTGGATGCTCCTAAACAGTTGTGATAAGGTATTAAGCAATGACAGGAAACAAGCTCGCCAGGTGTGGGGACGTGGCCACTGTCCAGTGTGCAATCAGCACAGGATACTCACCTCCAGGCCTGGTTTCCGTGACTGGACAGAGAAACAGGGGCCCCAGGCACACAGTCCCCCAGCAGTATCCTGGGATAGCATCTCCAGCTGCCATCCCCCAACCTCCTTGCCCTCCGGAGGGCTGCACAGGTGGCCCTGTGGGGACGTTACCCACCTCTCGGCCCTGTGCCAGAAACCAGACTCAGGACTGGAGGAGCCACCCCATGTGGCCAGCCTCTCACATAAACAAATAGACAGACAGAAGCAACAGCATCCCAGGACTAACCGAGTTACAGTCCCCTTCAGAGCCCAGCAGTCCCCAGGGCCATCCCAAACCCTCTTCTTCATTCAGACAGTTCCTGCCCTGTGGTCCTGTCACCCCACTGCCACCACACCTCTCTGGATCATGCCACGGCTGACCCCTCAGTGCACCAGGCCGGCTGCGGCCCCAGACACACACCTGCCCCTTCCATGTGGCCACAGGAATAGGTGGAGGGGACAAGAGACCAGTTCCTTCACTTGAGTGCATGTGACAGGGGCCAACTCACACTGCGGTGACTCCCACCTGAAGGGTATCCCACTGGGCGCTGCAAGCGGGAAGCCGCAGGAAGCCCCTTGTGGGGGCCATCTCATTTGTAAAACAGAGTTATTTCTAGTTGGCTTAAAAGAGACGCAGGTCCCTGGGAGGCAAGAGCGCTCTTCACGGAACAGAAGCAAGGCTGGCGTCTGAGTGCGCCCAGCAGTGCTGTGGAATGAAGACCTGGAACTCTGCTTCCGTGAAGCCAAGACAGCCCTGTGCAGCAGGCTTCTCCTCACACTGGGGGCCACCAGGAGGCTGACTCAGCTCGCCACCCACGGGCTGGATGCTGGGCTGAGACACACTGAGAACCCCGCAGCTCCTGCCCCGGAGTGCCTACAGAAGCCCGTGAGCTCTGCGGGAGTGGGTCTGGGTGAAACGTCTTCTTCAGAGCCGGCACTGACAGTGAGGCATCCAGACGGTCAGAACTGATGGGAGTTGCCAGGCCGTGGACCAGAGAGGTGGGGACCTGAGGACCCTGACACATACCCTGACCACTTGACAGGCCCTTGGCACAGGGGGGCCAAGACACTTATCCACAGGGACATGCGTGCTGGGCCCAGGTGAGGAGACTCCGCCTACAGTGACCCCACACATCAGAGCAGAACAGGCCCCCCAGGGCTCTCAAGGGCACACACACGCTCACTGTCTCCAAGGCCAAGGGCAAATGCAGTCTTACTGTTGCCCCAAGAATGAACCTATCTGATTAAAACCGAAGCAGGCGAGGAAAGAGGGGCTCTGCCTTTGGGACACAGCTGGCCGGGTCTGTGTGGTACACGGAGTTACTTGGTACGGCTTTTCTAGTCATGGTCTTTGGGACTCCCACCAGATGACTGGGTGGCGCTATGCAAATGGGAGGTCTCTGTGGCCCACCAAGGGGACTGGACAGCTTGTAGTAATGTGAATAAGGTGCCTGACACCCTCGTGGAGGTGGGAGGGTGTTGTCAGGTGCCGGCAAGTCAGTTCTGACTCATAGCGGCCCCATGCACGACAGACAGAAACCCCGCCGGATCGTGCGCCAGCCTCCTGACCCTAGCTGTGCCTGAGGCCACCGCTGCAGCCACGGTGTCCGTCCGTCTCGTGGAGGGCCTTCCCATTCTCACTGACCCTCCACCTTACCCAGCGTGATGTCCTTCTCCAGGGGCTGGCTCTTTCTGACATGCCCATCTCTAATGTGGGGACTCACCGGTTTTGCCATTCCTCTAAGCTTAAAGTAAGCCACTCCAGAAGTGAAAGGGGGGATCTAACTACCAGCAAGAAAGAACCAGGAGTGGAGTGCGTCCTAGGACCCGAGGTCCTGTGCTGAGATGGCAGAGACGGCAGCAGCAGAACCAACAGGAACGAGTGGCCAGCACAGACCGAGCAGTGGGCCTGGCGGCCTGTGGCAGGACAAAGCTGAACGTGTTTGGGCTGGAGGCCTGCTGCCAGAGTGGGGTGCGTCTCTGGAGTCCTATTGGCAGACCTAAGAGCTCTGTAACTGTTGCCAGAGCAGAGTCCAAGAGGCCACAGGACTGAGAAGCCAAAGACAGGCATGCCTGCAGGGGAGGCTATCCTGATCAAAGAACTGTATCCGGAGTGCACTCCTGAACCTGAATTGTCATTGGTTACTTCCCAACAAACCCCGTAACCGTGAGTATCTGTGAGTTCTGTGTGGTCACTGGAACGAATTATGGAGCCCAGAAGAGAACTAGAGAGTGCCGCGGGAGGGCGGCTGGAGTCAGAACTGGTGAGAAGATGGGAGGGGGGCACGTGTGCCCTCCGACTCCCAGGAACTGGCCGCGGGCCGCTGACGCTGTTCTGGGTCCTCCTCCCCTCGTGAAGTCAGAGGGCAGACACTGCGCCCACACCCTTCTCACAACGCGCCAACTCCTACCGGACGGACATTAAAAGCAGGCAGGCAGCTGCCAGGTGACCCAACAATCCCCCAGGTATGCATCTGAGAGAACTGAAAACACATCCAGTGACCGGCACACGTGCTGTGCTAGTTAAATTTGTGTGGCAACTTGCTGGGCCTGGTTGAGTGGCTGGGCAGCTGGTGGGAGTTATCCCCCATGATGAGACTGGCAATCACTCCATGGTGGGATCTACCACAATCAGCTGAGTAGCTGCTTTTGGGGTGTGGTCAGCTTCCTATATATAAGGAGAAGCCTTGGGCATGGTCTCTAGCCTATGGCACGCTTGGACCCTGTATGTAGCTGTGTCGTTGCTCAGCAGACTGCTATGCTCTGCCGACCTTGGGACATACAATGGACTTAAGTTAATGACCTGCCATGTGGTTTGGTAACATTGGGACTGTGCCTTTTTCCTTGTCAACCTTGGGGCTTCTCAGCCTCAGCAGCCAGCAGCTGTCTGAGTGTAGAAAAGCTTCTAGCTCTAGTGGGCCAGGAGCAGGAGGCAGAGCTGGACCCCAGGTTGAAGGGCTTTCACCCAGCCCCTAGAGCCTGGCACT